TTGATATGATTTGAATTATTTTGAATTTGTTAAGACTTATTTTATGTCCCACCATGTGGTCTGTCTTTGAGAATGATCTATGTGTACTTGAAAAGAATGTATTTTCTGATGCTTTGGAATGAAGTGTTCTGTAAATTATCAATTAAATCCATTCAGTATAGTGAATCATTTGAGACTGCTGGTTCCTTATTGATTTTTTGTGTGGAAGATCTATCCAATGGTGACAGTGGGTGTTAAAATTCCCTCCAATAACTGTATTGCTCTCATTTTCTTTCTTAAAGTCCACCAGGATTTTCTTTCCATGTTTAGGTGCTTCTATATTGGGTGAGTGCATATATGTTTATAAGGGATATATCCTCTCATTGGATTGTTCCCTGAAGTATTATGAGGTGACTTCATTTGTCTCTTTTTATTGCCTTTGTTTTGAAGTCTATTTTATCAGGTATAAGTATTGCTACCCTGGCTTTTTAAATTTTTTTAATCTCCATTTGCATGAAATATTTTTTTCACTCCCTTCACTTCATCCTGTGTAAATCTTTCATTCTGAGGAGGGTCTCTTGTAGACACCATATTTGGGTCATTTTATTTTCTTTTTCTAAAAGATTTTATTTATTTATTTTTATAGAGGGGAAAGGAGACAAATATCAATGTGTGGTTGCTGCTTACGTGACTCCAACAGGGTACCTGGCCCACAACCCAGGCATGTGCCCTGACTGGGAATCAAATAGGTGACCCTTTGGTCCACAGGCTGGCACTCAATCCACTGAGCCACATCAGCCAGGGCTGGGTCATGTTTTCTTACTCATTCAGCTACCCTGTGTCTTTTTATTGGAGCATTTTAAGCTTATTATTGATAAGTATTTGTTCATTGCTCTTTGCTTTGGACCTCTAGGTCTCTCCCTCTCACTTATTTTTTAGAGAGAGGGGAAGGGAGGGAGAAGGAAAGGGAGAGAGACATCGATGTGTGAGAGATACATTGACAGATTTCCTCCCACATGCCCTCAATCAGAGACCCTGCCTGCAACCCTGGCACATGCCCCAACTGGGAATCGAACTGGCGACCCCTAGGTGCACAAGCTGGCACTCAATCTACTCAGCCACACCAGCCAAGGCTATTATTTCTTAACGCAGTCCTTTTAACATTTCTTGCAATGCTAGTTTGGTGTTAATGACTCCTTTAGCCTTGTTTGTATGTTTGTTTGTTTGTTTGTTTTTGGTCTGGGAAGCTCTTTATTTCACCTTCAATTTTTAAATGATAGCCTTGCTGGATAGAGTAGTCTTGGTTGCACACACTTGGTTGTCATTACTTTGAATATTTCATGCAAATCCCTTCTGGCCTAAAGCTAACAGTCTTTTTTGAGCTCCCTTATAGGTAACTGTTTCTCTTGCTATCTTTAAGATTTTCTCTTTGTCTTTTACACTTTGCCATTTTAATCGGTTTGTTTTTTGTTTTGGTTTCTTTTTTTCTTTCTTTTTTTTTTATTTTTTGGTTGGTTGTTTGTTTGTTTGTTTGTTTGATATGAGTCTTTTGGGTTTCTCTTGATTGGGACTCTCAGTGCTTCCTGAACTTGTATAACCTTTTTCTTCAACAAGTTGTGGAAGTTTTCTGTCATTATTTCTTCAAACAGGTTTTCTATCCCTTGCTCACTTTCTTCTCCTTCTGGTATCCCTAATATGCAGATATTGTTACATTTTATGTTGTCCCAAAGTTCCCTTAAACCATCCTCCTTCCTTTTCATTCTTTTTGTCTTTTTGTTGCTCTGATTGGGTGAGGGTTTTTTTTCTGCCATGTGTTCCAAATCGCTGATTCAATCCTCTGCTTCATCTAGCCTGATTTTAATTCCTACTAGTGCATTCTTCATTTCCAGCTGGTTCTCATTCATGGTTTCTACATCCTTTTTCATGCTGATACAGTTCCACCTAAATTTCTTGTAATTCTCAGTTCCTTCAGCATCCTTATAACCATTTTTTTAATTCTGTGTCTGATAAATTGCTTGCCTCAGTTTCATTTAGCTCTTTTTCTGTGATTCTTCCTTTTCTTTCATTCTTTTGGAGTTGTTACTTTATCTCCCCATTTTGGCTGCTCTTTTTATTTGTTTCTACATATTAGTTAGATCTGGTTTGACTCCCTGTCTTCATGAGGTGGCCTTATGTGGCTGGAGTCCTGTGGGACTCTGATGCAGTCTCCTTGATCTCCTGAGCTGGATGCTCTAGGAATGCCCCGTGTGCCCCGTGTACATTTATGTGGGCTCCCCTAGTTTATTTTGGTCTTCATTGTTGTTACTCTGTTCATTAGTGGCTTCTCCCCTCTGAATGGCTGACTGAGAGGCTCATCCCCAATCACATATTGTACACTAGTATACTGCTGCTGACAGAACAAAGCAAAACAACACAGAAAACGAAACCCAACAACAGCAAAATCCGCTATAGAGAGCAGAGAATAATAAAAGTGGAAAGAGAAATAGAATATTACAATAAAAACAAGAATACAACCCCTGGCTGGCGTAGCTCAGTGGATTGAGTGCGGGCTATGAACCAAAGTGTCGCAGGTTCAATTCCCAGTCAGGGTACATGCCTGGGTTGCAGGCCATGACCCCCAGCAACCGCACATTGATGTTTCTCTCTCTGTCTCTCTCTTTCTCCCTCCCTTTCCTCTCTAAAAAATAAATAAATAAAATCTTTAAAAAAAAAAGAATACAATAAAACCAAAGAAAAAATGATTATGAGAAGATAGAGGTAGGGAAATCCATAAGAGAAAGGAACAGAAACAGGGAATCACCACAAAAGTACAAAGAAAGGGGAAAAAATAAAATTTTTAAAAATAAGAATGGGAAGAAGGAAGGCAAGTGAAATAAGAAAGGGGAAGAGTAAAATATGAGGTTTGAATGGGAAAAATTTTTTTAAAAATTTGAAGGAGAAGGCTCTGGCTGGTGTAGCTCAGTGGATTGAGTGCTGACCTGTGAACCAAAGGGTTGCCGGTTCCATTCCCAGTCAGGACACATGCCTGGGTTGCAGGCCAGGTCCCCAGTGAGGGGCATGCAAGAGGCAACCACGTGTTGATGTTTCTCTCCATCTCTTTCTCTTTCCTTTCCTCTCTCTCTAAAAATAAATAAAATCTTTTTTAAAAACAACCCTTTAAAAAATAACTGAAGGAAAAGAAAAAAATTATAAAAAGCTATATGAAAGTAAAAATAATGAAAAACAACAATGTGGAAATCTTCTAAGCAGAGTTTAGTGCTTGCCTGCTGGGTTCTCCTTGTGAAAGACAATGTCAGATGCTGTCCATGTGTAGCTCTAGGCATCCTGTTAGAAGCTTCAAGCAATCCACAATTTGTGACTGGTTCATTTGGGTTTGGCTGCATCCAGGATGGGTATTGCTGCACTATAAGCCTGGCTTATCAGGACAGGGCCCAGGGGTGGATCAACTAAGGACTGAAGGCACTGCAGGAACCACCTCCACCTGCCTCTGCTTGTAGTTCTGCTTAGTCTTGATCTAGCCACTGACCTATCAGTTTCTAAGAGGGCTTCTCATGTAATTGGGAGGATGGGAACTCCTGGATCTCCTGTGGGAGGTGCCATTCAGACTTCAGGAAAGATTGAAGGTGTGTTCTGTTGTACCCACAACACACACCGGTATCTGAGCCTATCCCATATTTCCCTGAACTTGGCAGGGTGAATCTCCAAGTAGGGTAGTGGGTGGGGCCTCCAGAGCCCAGTTCTAGGGTCTGCTGGAAACCAGGTGGGCATTTCTAGGCTCTCCTGTGAAGGGAAGGCACCAATTTGGTTCCCAGGAAAGTATATAGACTGGCCATGCCCTAAAGCCAGTCTCTGACACCCCTGAGTCTGCCTGTGTTGTGGCTCATTGCTGCTACCTTTGTGCAGATGGCCCACAAGTAGTGCAGGGGCCACAAACTTTACCTGGCCTTGTCACCTGCACTTGGCCATCTTGCCTTCAGCGTCTGAGCTTGGACACCTGTAATTCAAAACATCAGCTTAAAAATAAAATATTCACACAGCACCGTACTCCAGCAATCCACACTCAGAGGGCATTTCACACTTTCTGATTTGTCTACAGCAGGTACTTTCCTATTGGATGCTGCAACATCCCCCCAGAGTGTTTTAAATACCCATGTGCCCTTTCTATCAATGATTCTCTCCTGCACATGGTGTCTGACTCTCTGGTGTATATAGTTCCCATACATATCTGTGTTCTCAATTTGTTTATTTTCTGTTGCTAATCTTTCCCATATCTCTAAGTTTCAAGGGTGGGAATGAAGAGGACCAAAGTCTTGTACTTAGCACTTGATTTTATGGTGGTTATTAAAGAAACAAAAGACTATAGAAACAGCCTATAATTCTCAAACTATACCTTCCTAAGATATTTAGTTGGAAAAACCTGGAAGAAAACTTCAGCTTAATGACCTTAGCTTTGGAAATTTAGACTCCAAGCAGGAGTTTATTAACCCACTCACCTTACTCACCCTTTCACCCCAATGTCCTATTGTTTGTGGTTGCCTAACAAAAGTAACCTTCGATATGCCCTGGCCAGTGTGGCACAATTGGTTAGAGCATCATCCCATAACTGAAAGGTTGCAGGTTCGTTTCCCTTTCTAGACACATGCCATCCCTGGCCTGGGCATGTACAGGGAGCAACAAATCAATGCTTCTCTCTCATTTTGATGTTTCTTTTTCTCCCTTCCTCCCTAAAAGCAATGAAAAAATGTCCTTGGATGAAGATGGAAAAAAATTACCTGCATAATACCCATTTTACCTCTAAAGTCGAGGACTCTATTGCCCCATTTTCCAAAATGTTCTATATATCCAATGTTACCTCATTGTCTTTGATGGTCATTCCTATGTAAATTCACCTTTGAATATATGTAACTTTGACTTTCTTCTGTTAATCTGATTATACTATTTGATTATTAGACCAGCTATTAGAACTTACAAGGTGTGTGGAAAATAATTAATTTTTTTATCCCCCATAGTATGATGAGCCTGCCATATGAAACTAATGGCTGGGACACTGCTAACTCCTGGTAACCTCTTCACCTGAGAGATCATGAGCATCTGCTAGCAAAAGTAAACATTATTTTTGTTCACGCTCTCCACCTTCCTGGTCTATTTCTATAGTGTTTGGTAGAATTTAGAAGTGCTGTGAGTTATTTTCCTCTCTTCTACATTTACATTGTCGTGAAAAGATATTTGTGAAGCTAGCTGCTTGGACTTGAAGAAAGTCATGAGTTTTCTTTATTGAGCCATGGGTCTGTTTGCATCTGGCACCTGGGGTCCAGTGTCTGGCTCCATCTCCGGAGTCTGGCTATGGGGTCTTGGCTATGTATCTCAGTTCCATCTCCAGGTTCTGTGGTCTGGTGTCAAATCTGTATTCATCTGTGTGCCTATGGTCTGGGGTCTCTTTGGGTGTGGCTTTATGTTCTAGGTTCACGTGTAGGGTCTGTGTGCAGCTCTGACTCTAGGGTCTGGTGTTTGGAATCTGGTACCTGACATTCAGGGTCTATCATCTGCTTTTGAGTTTGGGGCCCTTTTGAGTTTGGCTGTGAGGAATACCTGGGGTAAGGTAGCCCTGGGCAACTCCCATTCAGGCTAGACAGCTCAGCTCTGCTCTGCTCCACAAGTTCTGGTCTGGTTTTGTCGTTTCTTTGCTCTGTTCCCTCTAGATGTCTTCATCAGTCAGGTTCAAAGCAGGAAAGAAGTATGAGGATCAGTGCTAACTACTCCCTAAAGTGCTGTTTGTGTGAAGAGCCCATGTAGAAATGGCTATTAGGCTCTGTTTTAAGAAAAAATAATTTTCTTTAGTCTTCACCTGAGAATATTGTTGTTATTGAATTTTAGAGAGAGAGGAAGGCGGGGAGAGAAACATTGATCAGTTGCCTCCCATACATGCCTCAATCAGTAAATCAAACCCACAACCTAGGCATGTGCCCTTACTGGGAATCGAACCTGCACGTTTCTGGTGTTTTGGACAATGTTCCCACTCAGCTGAGCCACCCAGCCAGGGCTGTTTTTAAAAATTTGATCCTAGATATCCACCAGGAGCCCTTATTTGTACTTATCTTTTTTCTTAGGATCCAAATATCTGTTATCTAGTACATGAGTTGCACAGGGTGTCCTGCCTGGGGTAAGGGTATGGAAGCTCAAACAAGCTATTGAGCAGAGGAGATGCTTAGCAAATGAGGCAGCAAAATCTCCATCCTGGCTCAAGTCCATTGTGTGAGGGACAGAGTGAGTGCCTGGGGAACAGGGATAGGACAGACCTGGATTCTACAATATTTCTCCATCTCCTCCCCAGTAAGCGTGTCAGGAGCTGAGGAGGGTGCCTAATAAGGAGGTAGTAGAGACCTGGAGGGGAATTACCATCTGGTTCAGTCAGATGTGTGAAGGGCAGAGTGGATATTCAGCTAAGGGATGAGAAGAGAACTAGAGGTGAATTATTTATCCCCTCTTCATATAGCTTGTGAGGGGCTGAGGGGATTCTGGGTATACAGGCAAGGAGAAACCTGGAGGTAAATTTCTCTCCCACCTCTAGGCAGGATGTGAAAAGGAGAGGGTTTCTTGAGGTCATCAGGCCAGGAAAGTTCTTGAGCTGAATTCTGCATCTCTGCTATAGCCAGCTGTGTGAGCCAAAGGGGTTGCCAAGCAAAAGGGGCAAGACCAGGAGTTAAATACTTCATCTTGGAGGCACTTGGGAAAGCAGGTGAGAAGAGACGTGGAGCTGATATGTTGTTGTTGTTTTTTTTTCTCCTGGCTCCATCCACCAAGTATGTGATGAACAGAGCATGCCCTGGGGTCAAGGTCAAGGAGAGACCTAGACTCAAATTTTCATCTCAGATTTAGCCTAGCCAGTGATAGACAGTGGAGCCTGGCTGCTTGGGGAAAAGGGTGATGAGAGACCTCAATGCAATTTAGGTCTAAATGCAATTTAGAGACCTAAATGCAATTCTCCATCCAGTTCTGGCCACCCTGTGAGAGGTAGTGGAGGTGCTTACAGTAATAAGCAAGGTAAGACTTAGAAGCAGTTTCTCCACCTGGTCTCCAGCCTGTGTCCAGCCTGTGTTTGAGGATCAGAGGCAATGCCTAGAGTAAGCGGTGCACTTCCACCAACTGGAGATCTATGAGCACTTTATCCACTGTGTTTTCAAGTGAGCATGTTTTTTAGTGTATCTTTTTTTTTTAAGATATTATCTATTTATTTTTAGAGACAGGGGAAGGAAAGGAGAGAATGAGAGAAACATCAGTGTGTGGTTGCCTCTCATGCCCCCACCCACCCAGTAGGGACCTGTCCCCCAACCCAGAAATGTGCCCTGACTGGGAATCAAACCAGCGACCCTTTGATTTGCAGGCTGACATGGTCTGCTAAGCCACACCATCCAGGGCTCAAGTGAACATTTTATTTCTGGACCATTTTGCTCTGGGACACATCCTTCCTGCCCAGTTCAAGGTACTGTTTCTGGTGGGACTGCTTTTCAAGAGCAAATCCTGTGGACTGGTTTCCCAGGGACATTTTCTTTGGCCCAAATGTAAGTGAGACCTTCCATTGCGGCCACTTTTTGTGAGCACAACTTCGGGACTAGTTTTTCGGGAACATGTCCTTCTGGCCCAAATCAAGTACTTCCTGTGGGACCACTTTTTGTGAGCACTGCCTCTGGACCAGATTTGGGAACATACTACTTACATTCCCTGTTTACCTGAGTGCAGAGCAAGAGGAGCACGTGAGTCATCCTGCTGCCATTTGCAGACTTTGTTGCCTCCTGTTTTGAGAGAACTTGCTTTTCCTCAGCAAGTTTCCTGCATGCACCACCAAGGGAAGAAAAGGTGGGGGGATAATTCCTGTGTGCAGTGAGGGGTTTTGGTCTTCGGAGGGCCGAGTAAAGGAAGGGCTTAGTGTGGGAAATGATCAGTTTTTCAGTTAATTTTTAGTGTTGTTTTGCACATTGCTTCACACCAGTGTATGAGGGCAGGACTAGTCCTACCTTGAGGGTCTAGAGAGACCTGGGTGCAAATTCTCTGTTTCAGCTTTAGCCAGCATTTGAAGAGCAGACAGGATCCTCAGGGTAAGGGGTGCAATTCAGCCAGCTGGTGTGCTGTGAACCCTTGTCCAGGCTGGTTTCTCCTGAGCATTACCTCTAGACCAGTTTCGGCAGCTAACTGCCTCATTTCCCAATTTAAATTAGCATTTCCAGTAGAAACAATTATGTGTTTACTTCTCTGGGACAGGTTTGCTGGGGACCTTTTTTGTTTTTCTCCCTAATAAATGAGAGCTTTTTTTCCCCCAAGATTTTATTTATTTATTTATTTATTTATTTATTTATTTATTTTAGAGAGGGTAAGGGAGAGAGAAAGAAAGAGAGAAAAACATCACTGTGTGGTTACCTTTCACACAACCCCCTACTCGAGACCTGGCCACAACTTAGATATGTGCCCTGACTGGGGATTGAACCAGTGACCCTTTGGTTCGCAGTCTGACACTCAATCCCCTGAGCCACACCAGCCATGGCTAAAGGAGCACTTTTTGTGGGACCGCTTTTCGTGAACACAAGCTGGAGGGCCTGTTTAGTAGTGCACAATAAATCCAGTTCCGGTCCCTGTTTCCGTTTCAGGACGTGTCGCCATATCTGTTATAAGGAAAGTTGGTTCTTCTTAATGCCGCCGCCGCAGCTTTCAGGAAACTGTGGGACCACATCTGTGCTCAGTTGACCTCATATTAGCCCCCCGGAGGCATTGCCAAGGGAGGAAAAGGTGAGCAGAAGCTTCCTGTCTGCGATGACTTCTGACTGGTGGGGGCAGGGTGGCCGGTCCTTCAAGGGTCCAACAGAGGAAGTGTTTGGTGTGAAAAATTGTTTGGTTTTTCAGTTAGTTTCTCGTGTCATTTTGCCTGTGGCTGTCCAGGGTTCTCAGCACCATTTGTGCAGGTTCATTTTAGGGTTCTCCCTTGTCTTCTGTTGATCTGCAGACCTGTTTTTATGCCAGTACTGGACTGTTTTGTCATCATCGTTTTTTAGTGGTATTGTGATGTCGGAAATTGGAATTAAAAACCCCATGATGTCTACCACATTCTAGTCAATAGTGTATCACCACGTTTGTGGACTTGATGACCCAAAGCTGTAATATTGCCCTGTATTCCCAATAAGGGTGAAAGCAGGACCAAAGAGATTAGACCACAGATTATTAGAGACCCACCCCACAGCAGAGGCAAAGGACTACCTGTGATGGGAGTCAGTCCTAATGTTGGAGGAGGCAGTTTGCATAAAGGACCAAGTTAGTGTTCTGTGAAAGGTTCTGCTGTACAGAGGAGGAGTGGATGGAGAGCTGTGCTTCTAAACAGGAAAGTGGAATGGAAAAGGACAGAAGGAGTGAAGGTGGGGGTAGAATTGTAAAGGTTAGGGTACAATAATCATGGTATTTAAAAGGCTTGGGAGCCTGTTTTCCAGTATTCTATTACTTAATCTGTGCCACCTAGATCAGGGGTCTTGTAAATAGAGTGTACATACACCTCAGGGTGTGAAAAGACTCTTTAAGAGAACTCAGGTAATGTTAACAAGATGAATATCCCTACCCTCAAACCCCATATGTACTCTGTCTTAAATTGGTTGGTGAGACTTGTTTCCCATTCCATCTCTCACAAATGTCTTTTATTTAAAAAGCAAGGGATAGACTTTCCCCCCTTACCCATATTTTTTCCTACCCTTCCTTTCCCTTACTGAACCAACCAGTTTTAAAGTGTTGGGACAATCAGAGCAAAGTCAGCTTCTGTGCTACAGTGCAGTGGGATAGCAGGTAGAAGAGGAACTGAACTGGTCCACAGCAAGGGGTCAGAGCCCAAGCAGTGAAGGGATATCAACCCACAGAGACATCCAGATATGGGTGAGGTGAAAGTCCATGAGGGGAGGGAACTCTCCAATGAGTGTCAGAGCCAGAGCACAGTGAGGAATGGGTGGGACCTGCCAGAGCCCAACCAAGGCAAGGAAGCTCCATGAGGACAAAATGCCCACCATAGTGTTGGAGACAATTGAGCAGGGTGATCATGTAGGAGAAGGGGTTGAAACAGGTGAGAAATTGGTTTCATAGAGGGGGGTGATCAAAAAAATAAATATATTAAGGATCAAGAGCCAAGAGACTCACTTTCTGTAAAAAAACAAATACTAAAAAGGCTGGGGGAGAGACTAAAATGAAATCATTCGTTGGTGATATCCATGCAGGCTGCGGAAGTAGCCATGGTGTACCAAGTGAAATCCCTAACAGAATTTACCGAGAACATCAGTCTGATCCAGCAAAGTATGATTAACAGCTGGAAAAATAGTCTAAATCCCTGCTCTTAGAGAGTAAGACCCCCAAACCAGAGCTGGTGTGCTGCTACTTGAGAGTTGCCTGCGAGAATACCAATTTACCACATTAACCTGATAAGTCTTATTCCTGCTTTCCTTTTTTCAGAACCATTTCCTTTGGGTTCCACCTACATATGTCATGTGTGGTATTGAAGAAGTACAAAGAGACTTTTGAAATTGCATTGAACATTTTCATTTTGTAGTGAGTTTCTATAAAGACATTTTGGTCAAGACTTAGCTATTTGAAGAGCTCAGTACTGCTGGCCTCAAAACGCTTTGCTAGGATTTTTATACTTTTCTCTGTCAGTCCTCTCAACAGCTTCTTAGGCCTCTGCATTGTTTCCACAGTATCCCCTCCCTGCCATTGGATGGGAGCTGGCTGTCCTGTGGGGTTGGGGGAAACCAGCTGATGTTCTCTTGTCTAAGTGAGATAGCTGCCATAAAATTTTATCCCCAACCTGTCATTTCCTACACTTTCAAAGAGATTTGGAAAAGGGCGTCCACTTAGTTGAAGGTTCAATGTTCTAGTACAGATACCAGTAGGACTTTATCTTCCATCCTTAAACACATCTTATACTTGTCTTCCCACCACTTTGGTCCTTCAGATGGCTTTGCAAGATGAGCAGCAAATAAGAACAGCAAGTTCTGACAACCACTCTTTGGTAACAGTGAATATACACTCTGATCGACTACCTAGATCTAATCTTCAGCCAACTGCACTAGATGCTGCTGCCCTTCAGGAAAAGTATCCCATAGAGCAGCAGAAGTTCAAAATGCAGGTGCTCAAGCAGCCCAAATGTGGGCCTACATGGAATGGATTGGAGGAACAAGGAGACCAGGTAGGGAGTCCTGATAGAGCTCAAAGCAGCAGCACTCCAACTGTGTCCTCACATCAGGTATGTTTTGTCAGTTGGCAATTGTTATGGGCAAACTAACTGCGAAGTGATTATCTTAACATTGCATGCACAGTCTGAAAAGTAACATTCCTTACTTTGAAACCTTGGATGAGAAAAATTCAATTGGATTTTTTTTAATTCTTGTTGAAGTACCCTTTTCTCCATTTTCCCACCACCACTTTTCCTCCTGCCCCACCCACCACCACCTCCCACCTTCAGTCCTTCCCCTCTTTGGCCTTGTCCATGGGTCCTTTTTACATGTTTACTGAGGATCCTTCCCCTATTTTTCCTCATTATCCTTCTCTCCCTTCCCTCTGGTTACTGTCAATATGTTCTTTATTTCAATGTCTCTGGCTATATTTTGCTTGCTTATTTGTTGTGTTGATTATGTTCCACTTATAGGTAAGATCCTATAAGTGGAACATAATCAACTTATTGGGGTTTGGGGGTAGTTTTTGTTTTTTAATTTTCAGGATACTTTACTTTTAAAATGGGTTTGGGGGTAGTTTTTTGTTTTGTTTTTTAATTTTCAGGATACTTTACTTTTAAAATGGGTCACAACACTAAGCTTCTGGCCTGTTCTGCCAATCTACAAGCTACAAATGCTGCTTGGCAGCTTAGGGGCGCTCTTCAGTAGCATTTGAAAATTGAGTAAAAATCCATATGAAACAAATACTAAAATAGTTTCCATGGAAACAGATGAGTGTGACTCTATCTCCTAGTCATTCATGTTGTTTCATCTCTGCCAACCCTGCTTACAAAGACATTTCAAAACCAGCAATAATGAAGTTAAGTGATTCCCTCCAATCCCTTAATTCAAGCTATCTTCACAGTAACAACTACAAGAATGGCATCTGCTCATTACTAGGAGTTGAAGCACAGGCTGCTGGGTGGCCCTTCATCCCACTCTCCCAGGTACAGGACACAGGCAAAGTACTGACATCCTGCTCTTCCACCTCAGGTGGAAAGCCATGGTTCTGGACTTGCTGCATCAGATACCTTGTCAGCCCTGACATCACATAATAGATGATCGGTACCCTGGAATCCAATTGAAGCTAGAAGCAGCAGCAATGGTGTAGGAACCCATGTTTTCAAAGAGCATCCCATCCCCCTCATGCGTTCGGGCAAGCCACAGCAGTGTATTATGCAATCAAGGCCATCACATGTTGGTCCCATATGCTGAATGAATGATACTTCCCATCTTGTTTGGGCCTCTTCTGCAGAAGGGGCTTCACATGTGCATGATTGTAGAGTATGCATTTAAATGATCTGTATAATCCATCATTCATATAGTACAGAAAGGTTTTTTCACTCAACTCATCTTCATCCAAGCCTGTTTGTTTCTTTAATATGAGTTTTTTAACAGTGATATTAACTGCAAGTGTGAAAACTGGTGCAACATAGTATCTGCCCAGCTCCACTGTGAGTGTCACTTCCGAGTTGGATGGGAAATACTTGTCCAGGACTGGGTTGCTGACATTGGCAGTCTCTTCAAACTTAAGTTTCCTCAGATCCAGGAAAGCCACCGCCAATATCAAGCGGACACATGTTGAAACCACCCTCAGCTCCCATGTCAGAGACATGGTGGGCATCGGGGATGGCTTGCACAAAGATCTTAGGATCAGTAAATACACTTCCCAGGTGGAAGTTGACATGGAGGACATCAGTATTTAGCTCCTTTGCCATTCCAAAAGAAGTCTGCTGTTTTTGAGTGTGGCACCAAATGTAACACTGAGACGACAGACTGCTTTGGAATCATCTGTAGTGAAAAGCTACTTTGCCTTTGGGTGTACCCTGGCAACTTTCATCAACTCAACTTTACTATCAAAAGTCATCATCTGGACTCCATTATTGGCAGCATATTTAATCTGAGACACTTGTTGACAGTGATTTGCATAGATAATCCTCTGTGGAGGTACTCCAAGACTCTGCACCAATTGTATTTCAGTCTTGCTGGCACAGTCAAATCTGGTCCTGATCACCACAAGGTCTTCACTTTGACTCTGCAGTCATTGCATTTGGGTCACTGCATAAAAAAGGGTGACCTGAGGAAGAGCTTTTGACCATTTCAGATGTTTCTTTAGAATATCTGCCAGGTCCACTGCAAGGAATGCATCCTTATCATTGAAGAAAAAAGTGCATTCATTTTTGTGTCCAGAATGTCCTTGGCAGTAAAGCCTTCATTAGGGAAATGGCGGCCAAAACCCTTATCACTAAAGCTGTTCATGGTTCTGGCTGTTCATCTGAAACTCAACAAAGAGGAAAACTAAGATGGAATATAAAGAAATAATTGCCAGCTTTTCACAAAGGCAGTTTTCTAGAAATTTCAAGTCCCACGGAAGATGGGTGTTCTCGTGTTCTCTTTGTGCAGTGATGGAGAGTCCTCAGAGTACAAGGGTGCCTAAAGCCAACCACATGGACATGCCAAAGCCTTTGGGAGCCTACAGGACCTCCCAGCACCCCCGTGAGCCACCTACCTGGCCACCAAGTCACTCCCTCACACAGAGGAAGGCTAGCCTAGGTGGTAACAGAGTGCTGGCAGGGGAAAGGGAATGAACCTGGAAATGATAAAAGTCACCTGCTATTTACTATTGGTCCAAGACAGAGGGACTTGTAAGCTCCTGGCCACCAAACCACCAAATAGTTGTTTTTGAGGTGTATTACAGTCCCTTCCTCAGTACTACTACTGATTTGCATGTTCTTAAATGAGCCAGGCTGGAGAGGGAGTCAGGCAGGAAAGGATAGAAGCTACCTGCGCTTTTCTGTTGATCCAAGACAGAGGGGCCCCTAAGCCCCTGGTCCCTCTAGAAGCAGGCTCCTGCCACTAGATTAACAGACATTTATGCACAGAAGGTGTACGTTTAGAACCAAGTCATCAGTATATAGAAGGTAGCTGGACTTATGAGTGCCCTGCCTACTCCTGAAAATCAAGGGCCCCAAAACTTGTAGAAAAAAAGAGCAAGAATCTTACTCTGCCCTTCCCCATAGTCCCGTAGATAAGATGTGCCCCTCACCTGTCCAAGAGTGAAATCCCTGCATTCACTTCTTTCTCTAACCATTGACTTAAGTGTCAGATTTCTCTTTTTATATCTCTCCTCCTTACAGTGTTTTCCTTTTCCAATATGTCAGCAGCAGAAAGCCTTGGGATCACCTTGCTTCAGTTGCCTGAGCAGTTTTCGAATCTTTGTAATTTATCACAGCAGCCTCATCTCACTCTACCTCTGCCTCCAAATGCTCATATCGGTTGCAGGTAGGAATCCTTACATGAGATCTGATTCCCTGATATGGAAGGGAAAGAAAAAAGAAAAAGGGAGGGTAGCTGGGAGAAAAAGTTTGACTAAAAAAAAAAAAAATACAAGTGCTAGGAATTTCTGGGGAAAGTAAAAAGTTAACTTTATTCCACTTACTAAGTACCAGGCAGCGTATTAGGCACTTCTACTCCTATCTCCTGGTCAAGGCCTGCTGGTGAGTGTGTGTGCACCTGAGTACAAACATGCGTGTGGTGGGACAAAGATGGGCAGAAAGCGAAAGAGCCTAGATGGTAGTAAAGAAGCATATATCCTTAGAGACTCAAGATAATAAAAAATAAAATTTTTAAACAGAAATAGCTTGTATACCTCTATTTTCTCATCCCATTCTCATGGCAAACAGTGTTAATGATTCTCAAACATCTTTACCCCTGAGCTGCTTCAGATTCTTTCTCCACACAGTTATTCAACTGTCCACTCCAGAGCCATCTGAGTTCCCATGCAATCCCTCCCTCCTAAGGACAAGGACAGAACCTGACTTGAGAAGTTAGCAGGTCTATTCCCCTTCTCCTGCAGCTACACTCATCAGGTCCCTCCCTATAGATGAGTTAAGTGAAAAGCTGAGGGCCCAACACTTAAAGAGGCACTTGCTCTCAGGACCTTGCTGACCCTGCACTTACACCTTGGAAGTGAGTGCCTCCTCAAAATATGTGCCCAAAGTCCTTTGCTTGCAACACGTTAGCCAGGCCAACACCTCCCACTTCCAACATCTCCAGCTTCCTCCTAGTTCTGCGTAAATATTCAGGTCAAAAAGAGACCTCCCCACCCCTCAAGATCCAGAAACTATCCCCTTTCAGACCTTGGTCCCAGGACTTTGCTAGGATGGAAATAGCCAGTCCTGTGTGTAATCAGCCCCCCCTTCATATGCCCTAACCCTGCCCCCATGCCACCCTGACTCTGTTTCTGTTCTCTTTTTAGGAGCATTTCAGGTTGAGGGGCCCTGTGTACCCTTGGTGGTCAGGCCTGGTGGTGAAGCTAAGCTGCGCTGCTCACTCTGGCCTCCTCAAAATGTTGGAAATATGCAAATAACCTGGACCAAATCCCCACACCACCAGGTGGTGCACCTGTACAAAGATGGGAGTGACAAGCCTCAGAAAGCCTCACCTAAGTATTTTGGGAGGACAAAGCTTGTGAGAAATGCCACGGATAATAGTACTGTGACCCTGAAAATATGCAATGTCCAGTCCTCTGACAGTGGGCAGTATCGCTGTGCATTCCAGCATGGCTCTGACTACAATGATACAATGATTGAGCTGAGAGTGGAAGGTAATGACCCACAATTATCCCCTCCACACTCCACAAGGGTCAGTTTACTCGGTGATGGGCTCCTTCCTCTGATCCAGTTTTCCTGGGAAATATAAGGAAGTCATAGGTGAAAGGGAGATGGGTAGATGGTCATTACATCTACTCACCCCATTACTGCACAGATCACTGCTGGGGGCTGCATAAAGTATAATAAATAGACTCTTAGTGGGGATGAAGAAATAGGGGCCATTTGTGTTGGATTTTGCTGAACTCTGTAGCCCAGGAGTCTAGGTCCCCATTCTTTGTGCCAAGACTTCTTCAGAGCCTCAGTTTTCTGTTCTGGACATTGAGGTCTAGTCAGCAGGGAAAACTCTTCAGAAGTAGGAGAAGGGTATGTGAGCAGGAAAATGAGTTAGGGCCTGACATCTCTCTTCCCAGTTCTCAGCTCACATCCTTAGTTCCATGTGGAAGCCACTGAGTCCAGACAAATCCATGTGTACCTGGATTGAGGGCTGGTTCCCTCAGCCAAAGGTCCAGTGGGTGGTAGATCTGAGGGAGGAGGAATTCCAGCTGAGTCTGAGACTCACACCCAGGACAAAGGTGGCTCATTCCATGTGATATTATCACTGCTATTCAGAGAACCTTCTCTAAAGAACCTGGTATGTTCTGCCTGGAACCCAGCAGTGAATCAGAAAAAGGAAGAACAATTGTCCATAGCACATCAGTTTTCTTTCTCCCCTCACTGCGCCCCACAAAATGGGCTTTGATGCTCACACTCCGTGGTGGTGGCAGCTCTAACCGCATATGCTTGGTTCTGCTTTCTTCATCACACCCTCACCAGCCTTGCTGCCAGAACCCAAATTCCCTCATTGTTTTCCTATCTTCTCCCATCCTTTCCTGTTGAAATTTTCCAGCCATCATCTTTTTAACCTGTCTGTGGAATTGCACTTTCTTGTCTTAGTCCATTCAGGCTGGTATCACAGAATACCACAGTCTAGATGACTTATAAGCAACATCTATCTCTCACAGTTCTGGAGGCTGGAAGTTCAAGATCAGGTGTCAGCACAATCAGCTTCTGGTAAAAGCCCTCTTCCAGGTGGCAGACAACCAACCATGCCTTATGTTCTCACAGGCACTGTGGAAGGGGATAGGGAGCTCGAGGGGGTGAGGGGGATGCTCTCTTTTATAAGGACACTAATCTTATTCATCAGCTTAGGAGTTCACATTGAGCATTGGGATTTCAACATATGAATTTTGAGGGGACAATTATTCAAACCACAGAACTCCACCAAACACCACTTTCAGACTTTCTCCTTACTAGCTCTCCAATGAGCCAATCTCTCCTGTTTCTCATTTCATAAATTTTCCCTCAGCCTGTTTTGCTGCATTCTCCCTCTATGTAGATGATACACACCTCAGTTCCTGAACCACTCGTTACAAACAAGCATACAGCTTTTGATCTTCATGGTATGCCCCTCGTCTTCAGTGAGTGTATTTTACTAGTGCTTTCTGATATTTGCCATTTTACAGTCTCCTCAGCATTCTCCACACCTCTTCACTTTCTCCCACATGGTTTCTGTGTGATCATAGCTGCTTTTAGCAGCCTTCACACCTATTTTAAGGTCTAGTGCTTATGGTTGTTTTATTTGGTTGGGTTTTTGTTTTGTTTTGTTTCTTGCTAGTATTTTATTTCCAAGTAAAGAAGAGGACACACTGACTAATGCAGCCATATTTATATCAGAAATCTAAAAGTTTCCATTTAAATCAGATGTGAACTTAAATCTAGGTGATGACAAGTCCAGAAATGGCCATGAGAGCAAGTGGAGAAAACTGGAGTCAACGTGAGGACCCTCTCTAGGTCTCTCTCTGTCTCCCACCGAGCTCTGGGCACGCTGCCTTTGACAAGGTCTTCTAAGGTTCCAAGCTTTGTCTGACATTGGGCCTTTGTATTTGCTGATCCCTGGAACTAGAACTCTCTATTCTGGCTCTCTTCGTAGTAAACTGTATGTATGATTTGAGAGGGTGACGTGATGGGGTCACACTAAAATCCTGCTGTGTCCCTAGCTCCAGTCTTCCTCCTCTCCTCCCATACTCACTCTTCATTGCTCCATCCCTTCCCTCCTCCTGCACTGTGTCTCTCACACACAGAGTTATGTACTTCTATTGTAAAGGAAAATTCAACTTTCTTTAACTCCTGCTTCCAAGTTTATCTATCCAGACCCATCAAAGGGTCAGCTGAACTAAGGGCCTTTCCTCTAGTAACCACAGTCCTTAGATGGAAGCTAAAATGAAAATGCAATGAAAACAATGTGTATCTGCGAGGGCAATATCCTCATACATTCCAAAGAGAAAGTCAGAGGAAACTGACATGTAGAAAGGGAGCCAGACTTATCTAAGGCAAATTGTCAATCCAAACCAGGTGTACCTGAGCACCAAACTCAAGTTCTCAGTCCCCTAGTCCAGAACCGTTTTCAGATAGAGAGAGATTAAGTGGGATAAAGTCTGAAAGCTAGAGAGAGAGCAAATTACCTAGGTCTTCGCTTTGACTCCACTTTTCTCCACTTGCTCTCATGGCCATTTCTGGACTTGTTATCACCTAGAATTGCCTCACATCTGACTCAAATTCAAACTTTCTGATTTCCAATATGGATATGGCTGAATAAATGAGTATGTTCCCCCAGAACACTGTACCCCATTTCTATGTGGTACTCTTTCAATTATTCTCTCTATTCTTTAGCTGGACAACTACTACTTATACTCTAATGTTGGATGAAATATTACTTTCTTAGAGAGTCTTGCTTTTACTGCTCCTCAGGCTGAATTAGTTTCCACTGTTATTCTCTTTTATACTACCCTAGTGTATTCATAACATTGGTACTAAAACAAATGCAATTGTACATCTATTTCCTTGTGCACTTATATTTATTGTCATTGTCACTCAGTGTGCAGTAAGTTTCTTGACAACAGGAGTGGGCATGATTTTTTTTAATCATTCTAAACCCACTCCCTGATACAGTACAGGGAACAAAACAGAATTGAATAAGTATTTGCTGTTAAAGAGTTAAATAAAGAGAAAGACAGGCATTTTGAATAACTTGCCCATGTGGACCCAGAAGTCACTAAGGTTAATGACAGACCTTGGTCTGGAGGGTGGCATGGTAACAGAGCCTTGTGTTGTCAATGAATGAGGAGAATGACCATGAGACTGGACAGGGAGAGAGAAAGAGTAGTGCAATGGAACAGTGCAAAAAAGATAATTTTTATATGATCAAGTTTTACATTGTGACACAGGCTACTCATCCCCATTCTTCATCTAATTTGAATCAATCTCTCACTGTTCCCAGTACCCCTAACCCAAGCATTTCCTCTGGGCCCTCTAGAAACTTGTTCCATTCAGAATAACAGCCATGACATCTTCCATCTCTTCCCTCAAATTCCATCTACCTACTGGCCTTAATTAAACCTAAAATTTCTTCTAAGAATCCTACTTTCCTGGCATTGCATTCAATTCTCATGACCAATTCTAGGCCTTTCTCCTTTTCCAATCATGGAAATACTTCCTGTTTTTTAAGCTTTTGTCACAAGCCAGTCACTTACAACTGAGTTGTAGGCTGGCTCTCTACCCCAACACCTACCATCACCTTAGAATTACTTCCAGTTCAAGGAGACAGTTCATCTACACACTAGCATCTCAGTTCTAGGAATGCCACATTTCCACTAATATGCATTCATCCACACAGTTATCCAACAAATGTTTATTGAGCAGCTTTTCTAGGCCAGCATACTACTTAACATTGAGATGCCATCATGGCTAAGATATAGTCTATACTCATGAAACTTATAGTCTTGCAGGTAGAAAAGACTTTGCACAAAAGAGAAAATCTTTGAGGGACAGACGGACCATGTTTGCATGTTCACCATAGTATCACTAAAACCTATCCCTGTATGTAGCTCTAAGAGGAATTCAATACATATTCTTTGAATGGATTAAACTTTATTATAATGCAATGTATACAGCAAGCAGAGGATGCATTAAAAACACAAAGGAGAGATAGATTATGGAAACGGGTAGAAAAGAAATCAAAGTGCAATTTTCAGTATGTTAGAAACATAACTCATAAGAATATGTTGAAATCGGGGGGCCATAATTTTAAGGAATTCAAAAGGGAAAGAAGGAGTGGATAGCCAAGCTGGTTCAAAATCAGTGAAAAGACTCAAACTAAGAGTGCTAAGTTAATGTTCTATTGGTCAATAAAACCATAATAAAATTTTATTTCCCAAGTGAGATGATCCCTTGACTAATTTACCAGATAATGTTTTAGCATGACATTGAAAAGACATGAAATTTGTGTTTGCCTTATTTCTGTTATTTCAGGCACTTTTTCTCAACAAAGCCTTCTCTGAGGTAACATTGCACCTGATGACTAAAGAGGGAGTGGAAGTCGGTCAGTAAGAATGGTGAAGGGAGAGGAATCAGCTGTTTCAGGAGCAGGGAGAGTGCAGAGCCCCACTTCACTACTGTTGTCAGACCTTGGCCTTGACCCAAAAGTGAAAATGTTTACGTTCTAAAACATTAAACCCCAGTATCTCATTTTTTGAGCACAGCTTCCAATTCTCCCAACTTTCTACTTTATCTCTTTTTATATAGGCTTTTCAGCTTCCTAGAAACATCTGATTTCGTTTTTTTCATGCTGTCCCAGGCTACCACCTTCAGCCCTGTGTGAGATCTATGGGTGACTCCCTCACCTACTCTTTTGTCAATACTCTCAATTCTGTCACATTGCTATTCTTCCATAGCAGAAATAAATTTATTTGCTCAAATTTATTTCCTGAGCAAGTAAACTAAGTAAGATGATATTTGAATGGATGCTTGAATTTACTAATTAATCATAATTTGAAAGGGAAGTGGAAATAGGAGGAGGATCCATTACTCTTAGGTGGAATAAGATTGGGGATTCACTGGGCAAGAATCACGAATGTGGGAATAACTGTCTTCAAGGAAACTGATCAGGGAACATCTGTATTTCAGGTGCTGCATACTTCAGTAAGCTTGCCATAAGCTTCATAGTTTTAGTTGTGATAGTACTGCTAATACTGTTTTTAATTGGATGTAAAAAAAGAAACGAGCTCAAAAGCTGGTGCAAAAACAGGTAAGAGTATTCATTTTTCAATATACAAATATCTCTTCTCAGAGGTATCTGTCCTTCACTTTTCTGCTTGGGAACAAGATCAAAATCAACAAAGGGTCTGGTCTGATCAGAGGAAGTCACATCAATGAGACTCAAATACCTCAGGCATAAAATATGGAAAATAATGCTTTATTTATAGAACTACTATATGGAATAAAAAATAATTTACATAAAGAATCCTTGTTTTGCACTAAAGAAAGACATTCAATGAAATGTAGTAGTATTGTTATTATTTTTAATGTGGGAGAAGGAAGAAGGAGGTAGAAATGTGATAGACCAAATGTTCATGATACACTCAATATTCATGAGGCATAAGAAGCACTCATTTAGGAGGTCTTAAATTGACCACCTATGGGTAATATTTTGTTATCATACATCTGTCCAAGAAATAAGGATTAAAATTTATAACTTCTCATTACGTCAAGAACTACAGTCATACTGGGTATGCTTGCCGCAGGTATGCGTGTTGGCCCAGGTAACACATTGCTCAGCCCCCTGGTTCAAGATCCCCTTAGTCTTTAAAATCATACAATAGCAAAGAGGACTGATGAGGCAGAGAAAAATAGGACATATGAATTCTGCTTAGTACAGGATTTACATCGTGTGCTTGCAGACTCCTAATTGTGTTCATCTAAATCATCTCTTGCCCTTTGCCTCTTGTTATATTTTAATTGACTCAATAAACTCTGTATTTTGAGCTTCTTAATTTGGCATGGAGTTGTTTGAAACATTTTTGTTATTTCTCTTTTAATGTCTGAAGGATCTATAGTAATATCTTCTCACTCTTAATATTGGAATTTTGTGTATTTTATTTTTTGTCCTTACCAGTCCACCTAGATTTATTAATTTTATTAATCCTTTCAAAGAACTATCTTTTGATGTCACTGAATTTCTTGTTTACTAATCATCTGTCATTGACTTTTGCTCCTAATTTTAATTATGTCCTTCCTCCTTTGTGTTTAATTTGCTCTTTTGCTAGTTCTTGAGGTAGAGCCTTAAGTGAGATGAGTTAGGCAGAGAAAGACAAATACCATATGATTTCACTTACATGTGAAATCTAAAGGACAAAATAACCAAATGAGTAAAACAGAAACAAACCCATGAATAAAGAAAACAAACTGATGGTTACCAGATGAGAAGCAGTTTAGATGGATGAGTGAAAAAGACAAAGGGATTAAAAAGTACAAATTGGAAGTTACAAAATAGTCACAGGAATGTAAAGTACAGCACAGGGAATATAGTCAATAATATTACAATGACAATGTATGGTGTCAGATGAATACTAGGTTTATCAGGGTGATCACTCTATGAGTTATATAAATATCTAACCACTCACTATGCTGTACACCTGAAACATAATATTGACTGATTAAAAAAAATACTTTTACCTTTGGGGTTATCACAAGCTTCTATATTAGATAAGTTTGTGAACAAATTAGATTATTCCACATGACCAATTCTTCTCTCCATTACCTACAACTGTCATTTAAAAATATGTCATTAAGCCCTGGCCAGGTAGTTCAGTTGGTTAGAATATTATCCCAGTACACTAAGGTTGCAGGTTTGATCCCTGATCACGATGTGTTAAAAAACCAGCCAATGAATGCATAAATAAGTGGAACAACAAATCAGTGTCTCTTTTTCTCTCCATCACCTTCTTCTCTCTCTCTCTTTCTTTCTCTCTCTCCACTCTCTCTAAAGTCAATAAATAAAAAATTTTTTTGATCATTAAAATATCTTCATACTCAATTCAAACAAAAATGAATAAAATATACTGTTTGTATTCTTTTAGTCTCATCTACAAATCTTTGAATCCAATTCAAAATAAAGTGAATAACATGTGAAAATAAAATTTCCTCTACAGACTGCTTTAGCTGTACTTAATTTTAATGTGCCCTTATTATTCAGTTCAAATATTTTCCAATTTTTCTTGTTATTCTTTCTTTGACCCATGAGTTATTGATAAATGTATGTTTACTATCTAGATATTTTGAAATATTCAAGGTATTTCTAGTTTAATTCCATTGTAGTAAAAAAAAAAAACACGGATTTTTCTATTCTTTTATTCCTTTTAAGTCTATTGAGGCTTGTTTTTTTGCCCAGCATCTCGTCTGTCTTAGTAAATGTATTATGTGCACTTACAAAGAATTTGTGCCCTGCCAGGTAGCTCAGTTGGTTAAAGAATCATCCTGATATGCCAAGGTTGCTGGTTCAATCCCCTATCAGGGCACATACAAGAAGCAACCAATGAATGCACAACTAAGTAGAATAACAAATTAACATGTCTCCCTCCCTCTTCCCCCCATACCCCCACCAAATGAATAAATAAAATGTGTTTTTAATTGTATTATATATTGTTGGGTGGCATGTTCTGTACCATCCATTAGGTCAAATTGGTTGATTGTCTTATTGAAGCCTTCTAGATCCTTTCTGATTTTTCTGTCTACTTCTTTCAGCAATTACTAAGAAAGGAGTGTTGGAATTTTAAAGTATAATTGTGTATTTGTCTATTTCTCCTTAGTTTTGTCCTTGTGCTCTATTTATTTTGTTTTCTGTTATAAAGCATATTCATGTTTAGGAATTTTATGTCTATCTAGTCTTTTTTTTTAAAGATTTACTGATTTTTAGAGAGAGGGGAAGGGAGGGAAAAAGAGACATCAATGTCTGGTTGCCTCTTGTGGGCTCCCTACTGGCAACCTGGCCCGCAACTCACTTGTGTCCTAACCAGGAATCAAACTGGAGATGCTTTGGTTCACAAGCCGGCACTCAGTCCACTGAGCCACACCAGCCAGGGGATTTCTGTTTTTTAACTAGCCTGTTTAGGTCAGCACTTTCCAATTGAAATAAAATATAAGGCACATATGTAATTTTAACCTATACAGTATCTACATTCAAAAATAAAAATAAGCATTGGAAATTAATATTAACAATGTCTTTTTTATACAGTATATCAAAAACATTTTAAAATTATTAACAACATAATTTACATTATTTTTATATCAAATTTTCAGAATCCAGTATGCATTTATACTTCAGCACATCTCAATTTAGTCACTAAATACTTTTCAGAAATAATTGACTTGTATTTAGATTTCATAAAATGTATAGTTAGAAAAGTAGATTCAGCCCTGGCTGGCATAGCTCAGTAGTTTGAGCGCAGACTGCGAACCAAAGTGTCGCAGGTTCGATTCCCAGTCAGGGCACATGCCTGAGTTGCAGGCCACAGCCCCCAGCAACCACACATTGATGTTTCTCTCTCTCTTTCTCCCTCTCTTCCCTCTCTAAAAAAATTAATAAATAAAATCTTTTTTAAAAAAAGAAAAAGTAGATTCACATAACCACATTGTTTTAAACATACTTGAAAGATTTCCAGTAATGGGAGTATCCATTTTTTAATTAAAATTAATTAAAATAAAAATTTAAAATTTAGCTCCTCAATTATACTAACCATATTTTAGATACTCAAGGTCATATGTGGCCAGTAGCTACTATATTGGACACCACACATTTAGGCCACTGATATGATTAGGTTTTAAACTCATCATTGTGCTATTTATTGAGAAGTAGCTATTTGTTCCTTGTTTTCTTCTTTGCCTGCCCTCTTTTGGCTCAATTTGGTTTTTTATTATTTTATCTTTAATATTGACCTATTAATTACACCTTTCTGTTTCCTTTCTTTAGTGGTTGTTCTGGGGTTTACAATATGCATCTCTAACTTGTCCCATTCTGCCTTGAACCAACCAATATAATAATACTTTATGACTAGCATAGGAATGTTACAATGAGATGTTTTAATTCCTGTTACGTGTGCTATTTTTGTCATATATTTACTTCTATGTGTCATATTGATATATAGTCATTATCTTTCCTTTAAACAGGCAATTATCTTTTAAAGACATTTAAAAATAAAAAATAAATAGCTTTTTAAAATATACCCACACTGCCATTTCCAGTACTCTTCATTCCTTTGTGCAGATCCACATATCTCTCTGGTATCATTGTCCTGCTACCTGAGGAAACGTGAACATTTCCTCTTGTGCATGTCTGCCGGTAACAAATCCTGTTGGCTTTTGTTTATCAGAGAAGACTATTGTTTTTTGTTGTTTTATTTTGTTTTGTTGTACTTTTTCTTTCTTTTTTTTTTTTTAAGGCTATTTCCACTGGGTATAGAGCAAGCTAGAGTAGCCTTTACCGTTAAAACTAGTTTAGTCCTATCACTGTCACAATCTGCTTGGGCTCTCTATTTAAAAAACAGGTTGTCTCCACTCTCACTCGTTAGAACTCTAATGTCTTTCATCTCTGAGTGAGTTCTAAGAATTGTCCAGCTTGTAGCTCCAATTTGTACTTTGCCTGACCTCATGTATAGCAGCATACTATTCAGCATCCAGTTCAAGAGAATCCCTATGTCGATTTCTGGAGCTCTCTTTGCCTAGCTTCCTTTTCTCTGGTATTCTGAAGAGAGGAGATCAGAGCTCAACCTCCCTGAACTCTGATCACTGTCCCGTCATGGAAATAATGCAGCTCTGCCCGTAGGATTCTCCTCTATGCTATGCAATCTAGAGATAGTCTCAACACAGTAGGTTGGAAAATTGCATTGTTTTTGTTTTTGATCATTTGTTTTTCTGCAGGATCACAATCCTGTGATGGCTATTATTTAATACCTAAAATTTTTTTTTGAAATATATTTTGTCTGATTTTATTATTGTTTATTCCAAAAAGGGCCCACCTAGTACAATTACTTCATTGTAGCTGAAAGTATGTGCCCTGTTCTTGTTCTAAAGATGAAAATTTTCCTTTGACTGCTATGACCTTATTAAAGGTCATCCCTGCCCTTAGATACCTGTGCTTTGAGAAGCAGTCTGTATCCTGGGTATCCAGGCCCTAGTACCAGAACTAGAGTGCAGTAAAGTACCTAAGACAAATTTTAGGGAGGCACTAAATCTCAGGTTTATAAAAATGCTGCCCCTGTTCTTACATGACAGAGAGTAAATGCCTCCTTAAATTTTGCATCCTAATACTTCGCATGCCTACACTAGTCCCAGCTCTGTCCTGCACATTTTTGGTAAGTATGCCAGAAATGCAAAGTCCTAAATTCTCTTAACTTGGATCATTTATCTAGGGTGTGTTCTCAGTGAGCTACCTTGAGAAATAATTCCTTTTCAGGAAAAAGATCAAACTTATTTTTTCTTGTTACAGAAGCAGCAAATCTCAGCCCAGCCCCAGCCAGGCCATCCAACACCCATATGTTCCCGCCCCCAACACTGATCCAGAAGATGATGAACTGCACTCCGTTGCCACCAATGGCAGTGCCGACACATCCACCACCACAGTGGACACCCATGATGCTATCCCTGGTGAAACCTCCACCAACCCCACTGAGGACCCCTACCCCTCAGGCACCACCACTGTGAACACTTTACTTACTGCTGACTCTGAGTCAGCCAATGCCTATGACTCCAAGGCCCATGACTCCACCTACTGTGACTCCTATGACTCCGCCTCCCCAGATGCAGAGGCCTGTGGCTCTGCCCATGCTGCCCTCCTGGCTGCCGAGGACAAGAACGAGCTCCTGTCCAAATACGACTCTCAGAAGCAGGTGGAAATGCAGGTCTTTGCCGTGAACTGGCAGGTATACAACCCTGAGTATCACTAAGGCTCAGTGACCCCAGGGCTTCTGGGTCAGCCAGTGACTGCTCAAGCCCAGGGTAGGCTCAAGAGTAACACCCCTCCTACCAGGAGGAGGCAAGCTACTGTGGCCCCTCTTGTAGAGGGTCTCCCGACATCATCGTATCATGTGAGATTTTGGGGCTTTCTGTGAGAATTTTAGGGGAAGGTTTTAGCAGATATTCACTAGTTTTCCAAGTGCATTTTTAAAAAATATGCTGATGTGTCAAAATGAGCATGTAGGGAAATATTCTTTGGTTCGTTATGTTGTTTTGTCTTGGGTCTGTCTGGCTTTTAATGAGTTTTATGTTATTTGTTCCACTGACTTCATCTGCCCTTGGGGTTAGCGGGCATATAATTGCGCCTCTGGTCTCTGTTTCCCAGGCCAGGGAGATTTAAGCTATGTATCTTTGGTTAGGGAGGACAGGTATAAGCCATTTATTCTCTAGTGTTCTTATGGTTAATGAGGGAGAATGGTTCATCTTCAGTAATTTCTTTAAGCTAACAAGGGGCATGGGCCCTTCCTACTTAGAGTATGGAAGTCTCCCTGCCTGCTCTAAGGTAGACAAGGGACTGGGTTTGAAACTGGAACAGAGAGGCCATTGGCCCATTTTTCCAAAGTGAGGCAGAATCCCTGAAGCCACCAGCATCCTGATACGGAATTGTTGTGTCCTAGAAGTGACAAATTTGATGAGAAGGTTACAAAGACATGGTCCAAAGACAAGGAGAACTATAACTGTTAAGGGAACAAAGAGTGGTGAAAACCAAGTGATGGAGGAGAAAGCAGACTTTACAGTATTCCAGACTGAACTGGCAGTAGGGTTCCCCTTTCCAAGGTTATGGTGTCACATTGCCTGGTCATAGGTTTTCAGTTTTGTTTTTTAATGTCTTCCTCTACTTGGCTTGAAGATCTGATATAAGTCCAAACCTAGGTAAGATTTCTTTTAGTAAATACTTGGCTACCTCAGTAACCTTTTCTGTTCTGGTAGGAGAGATTTTAACTCATCTGGTGAAAGTGTCCATAAATATTAGCAAATATTTAAATTCGGCTTTAGAGAGCATCTGAGTGAAATTAATTTGCCAATCTTCCCCAGGGTAGGTGTCTTGCTGTCCTATTGGTGATAAAAGAAGGGGAGAGGTGACTCTGAGGGTTATAGTGGTTTATGGCTAGAAAAGATGTCCCTTTCTAATACGGGAATGGGCACCTCTGAACTATGAGAAAGGCATGATTAACCCTGCTGAGGTCACAGCTGACCTGAGAGGTACAAACTCTTAAATATTGTTACAAATTTTGGGTGTATAAGTTCAAGGTCATGACTAGCTCTGCGGTTGTTCTTGACTATTTTTAAGCCATAACGTTTAAGTCGACAGTATAGTTATAGCACGTGTTTCGTAAGGGCGTATGATATTCGATAGTAAATTGTATCTAAGCAATACAATTTCAAACTCCGAACTCCAAAGTCAGTGGTGGTGTTTTTGTGCTGGATTTTTTTTCTTTTCCTGAATTTTGAAGTCAGCATTGTAGAGATTTTTCATTTCCCATTGAAAGTGGCTGGAAAAACATACCGATTCAATAATCCAAGATATGTTGAAGAACTTCAGCCAATGCTACTTGAGTCCCATGATGAGAATGATAGAGTCGACTATGAAAATGAGAGTGATTTATAAGATGCAAATTATGCGGAAGTTCATTCAGAAGATTCGCATAGTTAGCAAGATATTTCTAGTGAAGGTGAATTAGACATGAATGAAGAGTTTTGGTCGGGGCGGTTGGAAAGGATAAAGAATCAAAATGGAGGAAAAATCCAATAAGAGACAAATTAGAAAACAGTTGCAGAATATTTTTGTGTCAACTTCTGTTAGTTTGACCAAACACAAAAAATGCCAAGACAGAACTTGGAACCTGGAACTGCTTTATCGCAAATGATATTTTAGATCTAATGGCGTTATATACAGATAAATACATCAATTGTAACTTGTGCCAGTTTTCATGAGAAACAGGTGCTAAACAAATACACGAAACCGAACTAAAGCCTCTTTAGGCCTCATCTCGCTGATTTACATTGCAGCAATCTGCTGAACTTGCAGGATTTGGGGCCTACAGATGGTAATAGGATTGAATTTTTTAGACTTACAAAATGTTTACGGAGGTTTAGATTTATTCATAGTTATATCAGGTTTGATGTCAAACTTACCCACTTAGAACACCTGAAAGTGGGCAAATTAGTGGCTGTGAGAGACCAGCATTTATAGAAAATTGTACATTGTTACTCTGTGTGACAGGATGTAACAATAGACGAAATGTTACCTGGATTAGGGACATTTTTTGTTGTATTTTATACCGACATCCATGTTTCCATTATTTGAAAAGTTGTATTCTTTGCGTTTTCATATTTCCTTGTTTAATAATTTCTAGATTATAATGAAAAATAAATATTTTTAAACATAATAAATGCAAATTTGCAGTGTTTTTGGATTTTTTTTGTTGTTTCATTTCAGCACATGCTAATAATGAATGTATCTCTCAGATACACATGACCTACACTGTTTGTTTATTTGTTTTCAACTGCTACCTCTGCAGTGTTAAAAGATTTCCAAGGCTGCAGCCGAGGAGTAGAGTGAAATGGTAGCATTGAGGATGCCCATTTACCCCAGTGATTTAACAGGTTTTGGAAGAAAGAGGCCCTGGTGAGTGGGTCAGAGTAGAGCAGATAGTCCCCATCTCTAATACAATGTAATGGGTTTACCTGTGATGTCAAGGATCACCCGAGGCTCCTCTGATGTGATAATTAGAGGTTCAGCGGAGGCGGTGGAAGGCCTCAGGCCCCGCCAATTCTCAGGTGTCTTGACCATCATCTGTTTGGAGGCACCAGCCTCCTTCAGATCCTAGGACACTCACTTTTCCAATATCCTTCCCTCTAACATAGGGCATGATTCTGGAGGTATTTGAGGCCAATTTTGCTGTGGACGCTCCCTTTTCCAGTGTCCTCCTTGTCCTCTGGAATAGCATTGCCCCTTTGTTGTTCATTGTAGTCCAGGGGCTAGGTGACCCTGAGGTGACATAGGACTTAAAACTGTGGCCAACAAGTTTCCACTGGGCGGCTTTTTGCTCTTCCCCTGCCCTGTCTCGGTTGCTAAAAGCACTGAAAGCTAGTCCTCACCAATCGCTCAGTTCCCAAGACTTGGTCAATTCCCAAGACTAGCTTTTGTGACTTTCTCCTGAGGTCTGGGGTTGCCTGTTGGATAAAATGCATCCCCAGGAGTACTTGGCCCTCAGCAGACTTAGAGTCAATGTTTGTGTACTTTTGTGAAGCCTCAGTTAATTGTCCCTGAACAAGGGCAGGATTTTTATTCTTTTCCTGAGTAACCTCTCTTATTATGTCATAATTAACAGGCTGAATTGTGGATTTTTTCATCCCCTCTATGAGATAAGTAAACATATGGGCCCAGCATTTCCTTCCCTCTTGTCCTTCATTTGTCCCAGTTTGACAGTCCCAGTTAGGGTCCTGATGTGGGACTGCATGTCCCCCTGACTGATGTACGCGATGTTGAGCACGACAACTGGCTAATTCATCAGCATAAGCCCTAGCAGCCCCTATTACATGCTATTTTTTATTTACAGTGCAGAAGTGGAAGAGAATAATGTACAAATTACTCCAAGTTAGGTTATAAATTGGTGTTAAATGACCCTTTGGCTTGTAGGCCGGCGCTCAATTCATTGAGCCACACCAGCCAGGGCTTACTATGATTTTTGAAGACCAATTGAGTTTTTCTTTGCAAAGAGATCAGACATGAGAAGAGAACATGTACCCAAATAATTCCTTCACCAGGCTCCCCACTTGCCACTTCCCTCAGGGGTAACATTACTGTTCCACTCCTGGTAGTGGCTGGACTACAAACAGGGGTGCCTAGTGCCAGCAGTTCTCGAGTAGAGGAGGGATTAAACAGTGGCCGCTGCTCTTTGGGAGGCCGCAGGGAGTGAGTTGGGAAGTAGGCTGCTCTGCACTTGGGATGGATTTTGTTTTATCTTCTAGAGTCAGGCCAGCATCTTGCTGGGGCTGAGGAAGGTGTCCTCTAATTCATCTGACACTGTGACAACACACTCCATAAGAGATTTCCTTAAATTCCTAGTTAAGCAAAGGGTCATGAGCATCAATTTTTATAGAAGATATTTTACTCAATTTGCCTTCATTTTTGCAAAACAAATCTAACTGGAAAATAGTGTTACAACTCAAAGACCTATTTGTAGGCCAGACCTCCCCAACCCCTAGTTTGTATTGAGTTCAGGCAACATTGCAGAGGAGAAGGAGGTATTTTCTCTTTTGAAAGTTACCCTTAAAAGTGGACTAGTTGTTAAGGAGACATGGGTGTGGGCGGAGGATGTCAGGGAATATTTATTGTGCTACCCATTTTGTCTGTTTTATCTGGTCAGTACAGCTGACAACCTACTATGAGATTTCTAGTACCTGTTAAAGTAAGATGTGAAAATTTACTTTTAGAAATTTATAATTTAGAATAGCTCAGAGTTCTTTCTATGGATTTTTAAGCTGAAACATGTTTGTAATTGTATTAGAACAAAACAATGACTCTTTAAATAACCAAATTCTTTTTTAAATGACCCAATCACAGATCTGATTAAAATGTAATTGATATGAAACCATTCTGTAAGACACAACATTCGAAAATAACCATTAGAATTATAAATTAAAATATATTAAAACTTTGTAGCCTTTTGGAGATTTTTATATAATTTCTTGAATATCCATTTTAATAAAAATATATGTATACAAATAGAATACAGTTATTATTTCTTTATTTGATAAAGCTTACCATGTATTTTAAGTATATTAGACAAGCCCGATTAGTCCAAAGTTTCTCTTTTGAAAGGAGGAAGAATAAATCCTTCTTGAGATATTTCAGGAACCCATTGAAATACCCCAGTGTTATTTCTAGGTTAAGAAAAGGTCTTAAAATTTAAACCCTGGAAAGCTTGTCAAACATATTCAACCTAAGGATTACATATATCATGAAGTAATATTTGATTACTTATTTAAGGTGCTAATAAAAAAATGAAACATTAATATAGGCTGACAAAACTTAAGTAGTTAGGATTAAGAGAGGCAATTTTCTTGAAAGTTAATCAAGTATTTGATTAACACAATATCACGTATAATTTTTTTAAGATTTTATTTATTTTTAGAGAGAAAGAGAGGGAGAGAAAGATCAAGGTTTGGTTGCCTCTTGCACACCTGGGCCCACAACCCAGGCATGTGCCCTGACTGGGAATCAAACTAGTGACCCTTTGGTTTGCAGACTGTCACTCACTCCACTGAGCCACACCAGCTGGGGAAACATACAATTATTTTAATAAAATAAAATCTTTGCTTTTTAGGCAGATACAGGAAAATTTTTTTCCAATCACCATATTGAAAAGAACCAAACAAATTCTGTATTGGCTGACTTTTGATATTTAGATTAACTTACCTAAATTAAATTTATTATTCACCTTTTTACATAATTTCCTCTTAAAATTTTGCTTCACAAAATTCAATTTGCATAGATTCTGCAACATACACAAACTCTCTGCAACTTACCTAGTCCCTTTTAGTTTGTTTCTTTTAACTCATTCAGAAGCAACCAATTTTAGGACAAACTATTTTCTTCTATTTCTTCAACAAGTTTTTTTGTACTTTATACAAAAAAACATATAATTTCCAACTTAATTAGAATTATTAATTCTTAGAAGCCTTGATATTTAATGAACATTAAAAGTGATCAATTTAGCCCTGGCTGGCTTAGCTCAGTGGATTGAGTGTGGGCTGTGAACCAAAGCATCGCAGGTTCGATTCCCAGTCAGGGCACATGCCTGGGTTGCAGGCCATGGTCTCCAGCAACTGCACATGTTTCTCTCTCTCTTCCTCCCTTTCCTCTCTAAAAATAAATAAATAAAATATTTTTTAAAAAGTGATCAATTTGCATTTTTTAGATTAGCAAATATATTTTATGGCTTCTAATAAAGAATAAGATACTGATTAACAACATTAAATTTATTTTCTTGCTTCTGTGTCATAGAAAAGTTAAAAGTAGATGAGCTTAAGACTTGTCTAGTAATTAATGTGTTATTATTTTATTAATAACCTTAAAAGATCTAACCAAACTTAAACCAGGTTTAATATAAAATATTTTCCCAGATCACATGACCCTGAAAAAATTTTGAGATAATTTTTTATATTTTACCATTATAAAGTAATATTATTAGTGATTATAGAGAAGACAAGATTTTTCCCTTTTATTTGTCCTCCCTTGACAACTTTTAAGGAGGCTGGAGAAGAGGAGGTGGGTGGTGGGGAGAGCTATTGGGCTTGGGTGACAGGAGGGCCACTTCTCACACTTCAGTTCTAAAAGTACTGGGTTTTGTTTTTTATTTAATTTTCATATTGAGTAGAGAACGGGCAGGGGTAGTCCCTTTTGTTGCTTCCACAGCCTGCCCAGGGTTTGGGGTGTTCAAAAAGACAGTATTCAATGTTTTTCTTTAATTCTAATTTCCAAATAGGGAGATTTCTTAAGACTCTCAATGAAAGTTTTAAAGACTATGATTGAGCCATGGAAACAAAGAAAGTCTTTGCCTAATTTAAGAAATTATGTGTGTAACATCCCAAAGAGTGTTCAAACAGGAAAATGAAAATCCTGGTTACAGAAGATGTGACATGACAAGAATGAAGTTGTTAAAATTGGTGTAATAAATGCTTTAGACAGAGAACCTGGAATTTCAGAATGAGTAGAGAATTGTGTTATGAACGTGTACATTTCCACAGTGGCAGGGAGAGGAATATAAAGAGAAAGCATGTATGACATGGACATGAATACCCTGTATGAGGACTCAACTCCATGCCATAAGGGGTCCCTTTGGACATCGGGGGTGATCAGTTCCTGACTCACAGGACTCTGAGACCCAGATGTCATCTGGGGACAATCGTGTGGGTGGGTGACTCCATGTTCCAAAGGCAGGCTTTTGTCCCATCTCAGCGTTGAGAGGCATATTTGACAAGGGATTTATTCCACAGCTGACAGGTAGGTTTCCCCTGAAATGGTGATGAGAAGTGACAGGTGGATGAATTAAAGAGAGAGAGGAAGGAAAAGAAAATAACTTCAGAGCCCCACATTGGGTGCCAGAATGTTACCAGACAGAAACCAGCCTAGAGCAGGTCTGCCTCAAGCCAGCCTGTAGTGTGTGTGTTCTTGACTTTGTGTAGGAAAGATTTTGAAACAGGAGTCTAGGTGATTTTGAGAGTACGTTTACTAATGCTGGGGACAGTGAAACAAAGGAAAGACTTAGGGTAGAAGTAACAGGAGAGAGCCTGGGTTGTATTCTGTAGGCTCTTTAGAAAAGA